TGACGATCTCGATGCTATGTGGGTTTGCTTAAGAGAAAATTGTGTTATTGATGATGCCACTGGTGCAGAAAAGGTATTCACCTGGTCAAATTGTTTCTTTTATATGTTTTTTCTCTTGTGTTGTAGATTTAATAATCAGCCTTCAAGCAAATGGTGAAAGATGGTATGGGTCATGCAGCTTGTTCTCTTTTTTAACTTTTCACTGAAAGATACTTTGCCAATATTTTTGCCACCTTGATCAAAGCAGACCTGCATTTATGCTGTTGTTATGATGTCTGAGTGATGCACTCACTTTTCTAATAATGTGCATGATTATATGTTAACATTCTTCTTATTGTAACATGGTTTTGGGTCTTTCAACCTACATGCTCAATTTCAATCATTTCCATTAATATCTTGCCTTCTACGCTCTTTGTTTATTGTATCCATGATTATGCTGATCTCTCTCATGACCTTTTGTAGATGAACTATGAAGACTTTTGCCACATAGCCTCTGTATGTACGGAACAGATAGGTCCGAAATGCCGTCGTTTTTTCAGCCCTTCGAATTTTATGAAGTTTGAAAAAGATGAATCAGGAAGAATTGCCATTCTGCCATTTTATCTCTATGTAATGCGCACGGTGAGTTTTCCTATACACTTTCTCACTGTTTATATATCTTAGTCCCTTGTATAATATAGCTAACCTATTCTTTATCTGTTAGTTCTACTTGATATTTTTAATACAAGGAAATTAAGGGGAAACCATTCTGGTAAGAACATTTTGATATCACTCTTCCTTCAGTAAAATAACATAAAACATATACTGAAAAAGAGAAAGGGAAAGCAAATTGTAGAGCATATAGAAATATCTATGCACTACTAGCAGTCACTTAAGGCTCTTTCTGGTTTAATCTTTTATCATTCATAAGGAAAATCTACTGCAGTAGCAGCAGTGCAGATGCCTGTTACTAGTTTATAGATATTATTGCAAAAGTGAGAAGAGTGAGTAATAGGTTCTTAGCAATCTATTTTTCTTGTGTAGTTGGTGTGTTAAAAGACTTCAGTCTTCAAGCAATCAATTTGGAACCTCTAATTGTTAGGTCACTCTTTTGTACAATCTTGTGATCTTCTGAAATTGGTTGAAAGTTGAAACTAGCATCACTAGGTTCTTGATGATCTTCTTGTTCAATGGCACCTCTACTATGTAGTCTTGTTGTACTTGGTCTTTTGTAACTTGTAATATAATGAATATGTGGAAGAGCTCAAGGTTGCAGTTAGGCAAGAAGTTTTATTATGTTGGTACTTGATTTGGTGGATCCACGAGCCCCTTGCATGGGAAACTTAAAACTTGTATTTACTTGGTCTTCCTGTTCAGGTTTCTCTTACTCAGGCCAGAATTGATATGAGTGAGCTTGATGAGGATTCTGATGGTTTTCTTCAACCTCATGTATGTATCTTGCTATCTTAAGCCTCAACTTGTACAAATGAGTTGCTATTTGCTCAATTAGGCTGCATTTGGCAGCTGGGATGGGACTGGACAAGACGTTTTTTTCCACGTTTGGCATGACATAGCTTAAGGTGGGATTATGTGGGACAAGTTTGACTTTTTTTGCCACCACAAAGGTGGGGACTAAATTGACCAAAATGGAACTATTTTAACAAAATTAAACTTATTTTCAGACTTGTATGTTTTTTATGCTGTTGAATCTCGAATTAGATGGTAAAAGTATGATATATATTAAAAAATTATGAATATATGTTCTTAGTTAAATTGTTACATATTTAAGGGGTGTTTGGGATTTGCTTATTTAAAACAACTAATGTTTTTTTGTAAAAGTGCTTATTAACTTATGTGGTATCAAACCGGAGTTAAATAAAACATGGTTAAAATTGTAAACTGGTAATAAGCAGTTTTTCATACGTCAGGAAGGATTAACCTATCAAAAACAACTTATTACCGGTTTGACACCGGTATAAGTAGTTTTTTTTTTCCTTAACCAAACACTAGAAAACAGCTTATCACCGGTGCCAAACTGAAATAAGTTAAAAAGCAGCTTTTATAAGCAATCCCAAACACCCCCTTACTTGACATGTCTCAGTTATAATTATTATATGGTAAATGTATTTTAATAAAATTATTTAAATATTTACTTGTTTTATCATGTTCAAGTCTTACCAAACACTATACAGACAACCAGTCCGGTCAGATCCCATCTTGTCGCGTATGTGTACCTGACTAAGTTATATGGTTGTTTTGATGGAATATATTTTCATTCAACACTTCTTTCTCCCTGAAAATCTAGTATTCAAACCTTTGTATTTTTATTTCTAATTTTGAACCTGTTACAGGAAATGGAAGCTTATATTCGAGGCCTCATTCCTAATTTGGCTCAACTACGCGATATGCTTGGAACTTTTGTTCAAATGTATTGCCGCATAGCTGCACACAAATTCTTCTTCTTTTGTGATCCAAATAGACGAGGTCTGTTGTATTCTATTCAATTTCCATGATTCTAGTTTGAAGATATGAGTTTGCGTCTGTTGTGTATTCTTGTTCATTTTGCATCACATTTGCTGGTTATTATTTTATGACATTACGTTACTGTTATCCCGTTTTTTTTTTCTGCGAACAAGAATGCTTCTCTTTCTTGCAGTTCTTTTTTACTTGGCGAGTCATTTTTAGATCTTTTGTCAGCTTTTTAGTGTTAGTTTTCTCTTCTAGTAGCAACAGGGTAATTCATCGGTGCAAAGATGATAGTGTGATCAACTGGTGAAAATATGTGATGGTAGAAAGAATTACTTGTTTCGTTGGAAGCCTTATATGCACTTGTGGCAGCTAATGATAAGGATACTATAAATTTTTTAAGATGTGGGTAGTTTATGTATCTATTATCATCATTGGGGGACCCCTATGGAGCAAGCAATGATTTTGTTCGATAGATTTTTGCATTGTTTCTAACAAAGAACTCTTTTGACTATGCGATTATAAATAACTCCAGAAGCTGCTTCGCCGATTTATGATTGCATTAGTTTGGAGTATCTTCTGATGTAAGGGATTACACAAACAGAAAGTGTACCCCATGTAGTTCCCATCTGGAAGTCTCTAGCTGTTAATAGTCATCTTATGCCCCTGGCATGCATTTTCAAACCGGGGAATGATTTTTGTTTCTATTATGGCTTCTTCAGTTTTCATATTTAATTTATGGTTTTTCAGGGAAAGCATGCATAAAGAAGGTGTTGCTTAGTAACTGTCTTCAAGAACTAATGGAACTGCACCAGGTAATACGTCAGCTGTAAGGCATCATAATAATAGAACAGCAACTTGATCCTTTTTAGAGTTTTGGAAGACATATGTGTTGCATAGGAAATAATACTTAGAAATATTAGTTAAAAATAGAGAGTGGAACAACCTCTAATTCAAACACTACAGTTAACACACATTGCATGTTAAGAAACTTATCCAACTGCATTAGATCGTATGCAATTGAAGTTTTGCACCTCAGTACCATGGAATGATATGTGGAGTATATATGTGTGTCAAACTGAATGAATAAAAATGGAACATGCAAATGCTTTATATAGGCATGATTAGAGTCCTCAAAATCTTTTCTTCTTCCAACTTTTCGATCGTGATTCAATTCAAAGAATCTCTGTTACATAGTCTCTCTGGATCCCAAAGAGTTTGAATAGGATAAGACTTTCATCTATATGATGTTTGGATAGAGTTTGGGAGGCTATGGACTCTCTGGTATGTGTGTACTCATGTGCAAGAGAGATGCATACCAAGAGGTCCTGTTGATAGTCATTGCATATCCCATACATGCATTAGGCAACTTTTTGTTCCTAATGTTAACACTTTTTTACTGACTGCATTTTTGCATTATCCATCAAAATAGGAAAGTGAGGAAGAAGTTACTGATACTGAACAGGCTGAAAACTGGTTTTCCCTGACATCTGCACATCGTACAGTTGGTAAGCAACATATCTATTCTGTAATGGAATACCTGTTACGGTCATGGTTATCTTTTTCTGTTTTTCCTATTGTGCTTGGGGTTGGTATTTTCTCTGTATATGATAACAATTTTCTGTAACTTATATTACGTAGCAGTATATAAGAACTATGCTTCTGTCTCTGGCTTAAGCTACTTGTATGTCATGTACAGATATGTTTCTTGCACTTGATAAAGATAATAACGGTACGTTGAGCAAGCAGGAGCTTCGAGAATATGCAGATGGGACACTCACAGACATTTTTATTGAGAGGGGTAAGAACTGTTAGCAGGATCAGTTTTTCCTTTGCCATCCATTTCACATGTTTTGTGGTCTTAGTGTTATGGAAGGATATATTCTTCGAACTTGGATGATAAATTTTAGGTCGCTTCCAGTCCGATGCTTACAATATCTATATGAATTGTTTTGCATTTGTCTTTGTTCAAAGTAGGTGTTGCCTTATCATTTTTTCTAATATTTACTTGGGATAAATATGAGTTTAATGTAGTATTAATTACTTCCCGAATACCTTGTTAAAAAAATTCTATGGATACATATTTTATTGCTGTTGCATCTCTGAGCTTCATGTAGAATTACTTTCTGATTTACCTTTTGCATACTCCATCTGCAACATGGTATTTTGTTACCATATAATTTATATACATGAAATCTTATTGACCTATGATTTTTTATTTCTTCTTAATAGCTTTTGACGAATATGTCCGTCGTGGTAAAACCGGAAGTAGTGGGAATGGTCGGGAGATGGACTTTGAGAGTTTTCTCGACTTTGTTCTAGCCTTGGAGAACAAAGATACTCCAGAGGGTATAACATACTTATTCCGATGTCTAGATCTTCATGGAAGGGGATTCCTGACAACCGCTGATATTCACACGCTGTTCAGGTAACGATTCTGCATTTGTACTTTTTTAGTTTGAGTCGGCTACCATGAATTTGGATTCCTAGGGTTCTTCATTTTATGCATCTCCCATTCAATGAAACTCAATAGAAATCCGAATGGAAGTAAAGAAGGGGAGCATTTAAAGTTGAAATGTTGCCTGATATACCCTTCCTACAAGAAGATAATCTCTACTTTCCTGCTTGTTGTATGCTAGTCATGTTCACAAGCCTCTTGGATATGAGATACATATTTGACCATATAACACTACTAAGCCAGCCATGGACCAGAATCACTAGATTCTTGATGTACAAAAGTGGTTTATTTTGAAAACCCGATTAGTAAATGTTCAAGTCATGGAAGCCAGCTAGTATGCAATAAATTATGTCCATTGTCAAATACACCCTCCGTTCGAAAATAAATGCGCACCATGTTAGAAATGTGCATTTATTACACTTTCTAATTAACTAAATTAACAATTATACCCTTAAGAATCGAGGGAATAATGAAGTTCCTCATCTTATAATTAAGGGTAGAATCGGAAAGGAAGCACTTACTTTGAAAGTATACACTTGTTTTGGCACAAACTAAAACAGAAATATGGACCATTGTTTTGGGACGGACGGAGCAGATGAGTCTTGTTGCACTGGGGTTGGCCCTTTTGACAACATTTGGTATTTTAATCCTCCTCACAAAGAACATGTGGTAATTGTGGTGGTTTTGGTTTCATCCAACTCAGGGACGTGCATCAGAAATGGATCGAGGGTGGAAATTATGAGCTATGCATAGAGGATGTGCGGGACGAAATCTGGGATATGGTGAAGCCAGCTGATCCTTTAAGGATCACGCTTTCGGATTTGTTATCTTGTAAACAGGGTGGTACAGTTGCCAGCATGCTTATAGACGTACGTGGTTTCTGGGCCCACGACAACAGAGAAAACCTTCTACAAGAAGAGGAAGAACCAGAAGAAGAGTAACCAACCATTGTTAACATCTTTGCCTACTTTGTGTTCCAATGTGTGTATGTTATGTATGTATGTAAAGATAGATGATAACTTGTAGTTCTACAGTTTGAAAATTGTTGTGTTATTACAGTATGCAAGCAAATGTTTCTGTTGCTCAGACTGGTTTCATTTTCATGTATTAACCAAATTTAGATAATTTTTTCTTTATTATTACTTAATCCTACTATTCTTTTCATCTAATGCATAGTTGTCCATCAAAAACGGAAACATCGAATGAATTGATTGTAGATATCATATTTTTCTAGTTGATTGTGTTTATGTATGTCTGCATATTGATTTTGAATTTAATTTGTTTAGTTAAAACGAAACCAAACAAAATGTGCCGTAAAATTCCATTTGGAAGTGGGGTATGTAAAGGGTAAGATGTACGTATTTCTCCAATGGTGGAGACTATATCCGTTACTAGTTTTGTAGAATGCACCATGGTATTATCTTTACGAAAGACATAAAGCAGCTCTTTTCTTGATTATACTAAAAACTATGGGGATATTGGCTCGTTTTCAATTAAGTCTTGTATGGATATAGTTGTCTGTATGATATAAGATGAATTGTTGTTCGTTTATTGTACTAAATTAACAGTCTGAATGCTAGAAATGCTCATTTTACCCCTCAGTCTAAGAAAATTATCAATTTAGGATGCATTCGAGATCCAAATTCATAATTTTAGCACTTGAAGATCCAAATTCCTTCAAATCAAGGGAAGAACTTGGACTGCATTTCCTTGCAGGAAGTTTGATAATTAATATCCAAATTTCTAGCCTAAAAATTGAACAATATCTACTCAGAAAAGTTCAAGAAAAAGAAGGCATCTATCATAACCCAATATCTGAAAACAATTTTTGCTAACCATCCGAGTCTTAAAGGGTAGGTGGGGAAAATTTATGGCCGAGTGTAAAGGACCAAGGTTTTCTAGCTGACTGATTAAGCCATTGACTGAGCAAATAAACCATAACCCCTACAAGTAGTTCTGACGCAGCTCAACTACACCAGAAATGGGGTGCTGCTTGCTCATCCATTTCATTTCATCACATGATTGGCAAATTTACAATTGCTTCTGGATTCATGTCTTGATGATTTACTTGGTCTGAGATCAACCTCCTTTCAGAGCATATACCAACCATATCATCTTCATGTTCTGCTAACGCCTTCATGGTTACGACTTATGATCTGTTGGCAACACCATTAAGCCTTGATGAATGAGAAACGGTGTTGCTCAATTTGACCATTTCACATATTTAACTACTGTGTCGTATGTTTCCATGTTGAATGAGCTTTCTGCAAAACATCTGCACACAACATAGGAGGTTACAACACATATATAAACAGCACAATTTGATTCATATAAAGCTTTCAATTTGATTTCCTCCATGCAACAAATCCATAACATGGTGTGGACTTATGGTTACATTCGTAGGTTCAAACTCCTTCGAGCTGATCTATATTCTATACATACTATTAGAGTATTTAACACCCTCCTTTCTGCTCCTACATGATCATGTACAAGGATAAGATGGTCATTTTCACATACTACCCCAGTACTTTGATGACTCCAAAACTGTACTACTTTTTGTACACTCTGAAATGAAGAGGGCATAGCTCTATATTTGATAGAATCACCTCTGGTCGTAAAAATCATACTTGAGATTTTATTGGAGGATTTTGGTCATGCATCATGTCATATTATCTTCCCAAGTCCCAACTCCTATTTTCTACATATCAATCAATGTTATTTGTAGAAAATCGAACCATCAGCTTCAGTTTAGGCTTATTAGCCCAAAATGATTCCTGTCAAAGGCAATCCACATATAATTGACCAGGTTCTGCAACTACAGTAGGCCATTTTCCAAAAGCCCTAGTACCAGATTCTCCAAGAAGTCCAACTTTAGCTCAGTATTTTAGAACCAAGGTCAATATAGTATTTTACAGTAGGAATTCTGAAAATTTTGAAGTTAAAAGTAGGAAGCACACAAAAATCACACGGGATCAGGGTTATGGTGGCTTGATGTCAGTCTAACCAGTAAGATCAATGCCTTGACAACTGCCATAACAGGTGCAGCATGCAACAGACGGAGGCATTCATCAACCAAACTGATGTAATTAATGGGAGCAAATATGAAGCTTTCCAATCAAATGTTCCAAACTATAGAATTCACTTTACAGAAATGATGAGAAGCTCCTTCCAAGTAAATCTCTAGTCCCTTTCATGGCTATGATTGGAGCTTCTTTGTGTTTCTAAAAAATGCAGCCACATAGTTGCCAGGGCCTTCTGTTTGTGTTAGCACAACAGATTTAAACATTGTCCCCTGAAACTTTCAATTGTTGAACTGCTACCCCTTTCCTATACCTTTCTACTCAATCAAGTCATCAATGGATATATGTATTTCATACTTTGACAACACACCTTGTTTTAACAGTTACACTTTAACCTCACAGTTCGGGTCAAAGTCCTATCTCATCACAGAGGTAACCAAGACTTTCATCTTAGTCACAAATGTTGTTCAATTTACACATGAACAACCATCTTTTATATTTGCTTCTTTACATGAAAAGCTTCCAGGCCTTTTTTTTTCTCCCTATATCGACTTCTATTTTTCCCACTTTCCCTGGAAGACTTCTTTTAACCTTCATTTTCTTGCAATTTTGGCAACACAACTCTATAGATATTCCATTGTTTGTCTCCAAAACTTTCAAGATGTTAGAAATACCCCCATACTTCTGTGGTTCAGAAGAAGGCTTCCAAGGTTCATCAGTTTAAGGAGGTCTCATACGGTCCTATGCAAGCTACATGAGTTTGGTTTTGGCAAATTTCTCAAAATAAGGAGAAATTTTGAGCGACTAGCTCCTGAAAGGCATCTTCTTGGGTTAGAGTTAGAATGTCATCCGCATGACGTTGGTAGGCTTGATTGTTTGCTAGAAGATGTTTCAGTGAACCCCGGGGTGCAAAGCTTTATATGGGTGAGCTCTTTGATGATCCAAAGAGATACAGTAAACTACTAGAAAACTGAATTGTGTAAGAGAGGAACCCTAGATCGACCCCATTCAGTAAGAAATCTAGGATTTACTATATTATACCTATCCATTCAATATTAATTCTAAATAGATCATATCATAGAATTTGAAGAATAATAAAAATTCGACGCTAGATACTAACAACATACCTGAGTTCATGCCAGAATGTACTCGTCCGTTCAAACAGAAAAGGCTGCAACGGTTCAAGATATTTTTTTTCTACACCAGAAGGTCTTGAAGGAACCTTATGCGCTTCTTCAAGACTTGAGATAAAGATTGACGTCACCAGATGCACAAGTATGGTTGGATCTGGATCACCAAGAGCAGCATGGAGTTCCCTGTGTATCCATGGTTCTATTCTTTTTAGTAGCCTTTCCCTGTTGCTGTTTCTTCCCATGACACCCTAAAAGAAAAAAAATATGAACATAAATTCATATTCCGGATAATCACCAAGAACAAACTTAATTTTAGATATTTCTGGTTCAGTTGTTCTGTGCTAAAATATACTTGCATTAGAAGCAGCACAAATTATAAATGGAATTCGGATCTTCTTATTTTTTTTGAATATGTAAAATATATATTAAAATACAAGCAATTGGATAAATGGATCATGAAGATTGTCCCTGAATTTAATATCGTAGGTGAAAATGGGTACACATGTGTTTGATGAGCAAATGTTAATTATCTTAATTGTTATTGATAATTTATGTCATTAATTATATGATAATTTGATCAAATTAAAAACATTGGTAAATGATTTATACATTTATTTAAATATATAATTTTTTTATTTGTTTAACCAATGAGAAATAAATGTACATGACGTTGACGAGATGAATGCATATAGAAATGAAAATGAAATGACAAGGATTCCAGAGGTGAGAAAGACAAATAAGAAAATACCCGGTTTGCCTCCTTATTATATTACTCAACTTGGTTACTCAATTAGGCAACCTGGAGTGCTACAACTGTTAGCACTAGGTTTTTCTCATTTGTGGCTCTCCCAGAACCTGTCATTTCATTTTTATTTTTATATCCATTCATATCCTCATCCTTTTAAATTGGTTTTTTATTGGTTAAACTATTAAAAAATTATTTACATAAATAAATGTTTCAATCATATACTAATGTTTTTAATCTTAATTTGATCAAATTATTATATAATTAATGACATAAATTATCGATAATGATTAAGATGATTAACATTTGCTCATTCAAACACATGTGCACCAGTTTTTACATACGATATTAAAATTAGGGACAATCTTCATAGTCCATTCGCCCAATCGCTTGTACTTTAATATATATTCAAACAAAATATTAATACACCTATTATGAATAGCTGATATATGATAAAACAAACCTTCAAGAGAGAGGTACCCTATAACTAGAAGCCTAAAACAAGTAGAAGAATATATGCAAATCTTATAGTCTTATCCCGACTCTAAGCTAAAAAATAGAACAAAACATCATAGATCATTCCTTTAGTATGCTCCAACACCAAGAACTCACAGAACAGTGCTGCAATTTTTTTATCAATTGGGATCATTTTTGGCAAACAGAATAGAGAGGAAAAACAGTTCCTGTTTCAGTGAAGAACAAGTTTGTGGTTTAACATTTAGTTGATGAATCAAGTGGTGAAGAGGATATGAGAACCTAACAAAATATCAGAAACAATCTAAGCCAAGATTGTGACATCAATTTAAGAGGACTGCGGAAAAAAGTTCTCAGATGAACTGACAATTAAGGAGCATAAGCAGAATAAATCATATAGCTGCAAAACAGTGGACATTCAAAGCATTGTAGACAGACTTTCCAGAGTTCATACACTCGTACCCCGTCGTGAACGTTTTGTTACTACAGCTAGAGGGAACAATGAAATTATATGTGATGCACTTCTCAAGAAATGAAAAAGAACATTAAAATATGAAAGAGGTGCAGGACTGCAAATGCAAAGCAAGTTTTCATCTTTGCTTACGGAATCTACTTAGCTAAAACGAGTAGTTAGTAAAAGAAATTGAGATTGAAGTGATAGGATATGACAATGACTGACACCTATGTGCCAACAGTCTCTTTTTTGACTTGTAACGGAGTTCCATATTCTTGTGACATGGTTCCAGCCATAAAGGTCCAAAGGGGATACAAGGTTCCTTCATATAGCGAAATAATACTGTTGAAATCGTGCAAAGAAGCCTTGAGAAGTAGTTATTACCTATAAGATATACTTGGTATTACAATTGGTTTGGCATTGACTCATGCGTATTCCAATGTGCTAGAATATGAAACAACTTGCATTTGCTTAGTATTAGACCGTCTATATAATACAATGTGGATCCTGTTGTAACACAAAGCATCCCTTGTAGGAAATAAGTCCTTTTACACTATCCCAATGATATTCTGGCCTTTATGTCCAAAGATGCACTGTATTCATTTGGACCCTTGTTGATGGCTGAAATCATCTCACATTCTCATGAACACAAGTTAAAGAATATTGACAACTACACATCTTTCAACTTTCAAGTACATTGTATCTTTATCCATCATCTTGAAAATATATTCAATGCAACCTCTTACTACCCAATTTCCTCTCCTTAGCAAAGTAGAAATTCTAAGAGAATAAGAACTTCCATTTTGTTCAAATCTTGCTTCACCTTTTCTATTTTATTGTACTCTTCCTGCTTTAAGAAAGTGCATAACACCTTCTAGTTTCATTTACTTTGAGCAGAGCACCAAAAAGATGACAACAGATGCAAATGTAAAAATTGAAGAAGTTTTCCTGTAATGCTTTGGATGTCCATTTGTTGTGTGTGAGGCTTATCTTGTGTTGATTTTACGTTCTTGGCATTGAGCGATTGTGGTCCAATGAGGTATTTTACTTATTCAACGTACTTCTGTTACCAACTGCAATCCAATTCTAGTGCTAACATAGTTACATATATTGTATGAATGTATATACCTCTTAGATTATGCCCATGCATATCACCTCGATGGTTAGGCCATGATGCCCTAAACATCCATATCTGATAGACTCTTGTAACCACGACATCTTTTCTATTTGCTTACTTAACATTTCTTTCTAAAAAGCAACAAGAAAACTATTTTGCTTACTATCTGATCACCATTAGAATTGCTAGTGGTTGGTCCTCCCCAATAATGATTTAGGATGAAATATTGTAACTCCTAACTTACCCTTACATTTTATATGTTACTATCTTTCCAAAAGTTCTTATATATTTAACCAAATAACTAAGTAGGTAAGGTCCTATAACCTTAGTTCCCATATACTATCAATTGGCACCAGATATAATTCTGGGGCTGGTTAAATACTTCAAGGAACTAAACACGCTACATTAGTGATGCCGGTATCAACAATGTCCGAGTCATTGTTAGTGGGCATTGCACTCATTTAAGAACAAGATAATACATTTTTAAGTATCCTATGTGGATTATTAGGTAGGAGGTTCTGGCGAAAGTCTCCTTTTTTTTTTTGATGTCCGGGACCATTACTCCTGAGTCTATCATGTGTTTTAAGTATCTCATCACATTGTAAAAGATTGTTCAAACTTAGGTTTATTAAATTATATGTATGTATGTATGTATGTATGTGTGTGTGTATATGTTGAATTTTATTCATGTTTTCAAGCTTTGTGCTTGTTAAAACTGAACTTCATTTATCGTTCACCACTTTGGTGATGGTAATACCAAGGAACAATTTACATACGTGTTCAGCATTCTTATGCAAAAAACTAGGATGCATGAATCATCATGTGAATGTCCTCAACATAATGAGATTACTGAACACAAGAATCATCATTTGCTTGGGGTGCCATATTCATTCAACTAATGCCACTTACAATTTTTGGACAGATAGTTCTGACTTTTAGGTTTGTAATAATTATGATACAATATTTTGCTTTGTATGGTGCTAGGCTTCTGTAGACAGCTAATAGTTATCACATGTCAAGGAAATGTGAAGGTGGTGTTGGAATGTAGGCTTCGGCCTACTAAGTTAGACAAAAGGGAGGAGGCATAAAGTAAGGAGCCGGCCCTAGCCCAAAAGGAGCCGGCCCTAGTCTCTACCCTAGTTTCCTTGATTAGAAGATAACCCTAATTATGTTTGTCTATATATATTAATCTCATTGTACTTGTAMACATTTGTAGCACCTAAATAAAGAAAAACCTAGTTGCCCCCGTGGACTAGCACGATCAATCTGATCGTGTGAACCACGTAAATTCTTGTGTTCTTCTCTTGTTTTTGGGTTGTGCGTAGGGTTGTGCGTATTGCGTGTGTAACGTTTGTCCTAACAGGTGGCACTTTAACATCCAGACTGGTAGAAATTCATGCAAAAGGATACAAATGCACACACAAAAATAGTTCTACTACAGGCTTTGTGCCTAAGGGATATGTGCTACTGGTCTATGTGGATGTTATTGTAATTACAAGGGAAACATCTTGGGCTTAGCTCATCTGAAACTTTCATTGGAGACTCTCCATGTTATGTTGCAGAATCATCCATTTTATGAAGATTGAGTTTGTCACAGTATCAAGAGGACTCTTGTTTGACAGAGAAAATGTGTTCATTTAATTTGTCTGAATTGCAAAACAACAGATTCTATGATTCAAATGCTCTCCAATGATCTAAAGAACTAAAGGGTGCAGGGGGGGTGACAATGGACATAAATGCTTCATCCTGAGGACTGTCATTAATCAATTTGTCCAAACCTACAGGTCCATCTACTGTATATATTCAAGGTTTTCTTCTTGGTGATAGTATGTTCTGTATGAGGATCTACATAAATTGACATAACATGATAATCATAGAAGTTTAATTATTGCTTGGGAATTGATTTGAGAAAATTAACAGTGATTGACTCTTCTTTAGCTGTATACCTGTTCAAGTGACCCTCTGCTTGGACAAGGTACAGCTCGCAAGTTTTGCTCGTATATGCTGCAAGTACAAATTCATAAAAGCACATCATCAAAACAATTAGAAGGCATGAAAAAATGTTTCATTTTGGAAAATATGTTTGTTGTATATAACATACCTTGTACGCCACTGCAGAATTCTCTCTTTGTTAACGCCAGGAGGCAGCATTTTAGACTGGCCAAATGACCTCTGCCTGGGTAATGCCCTTGTTCTTCTGTTAACAACATTTAGTTCTTCTCTCGATATCCCAATTACCCTGAGAGTCAAAAGATGAAGATTAAAATGAAATCCTCTACATACATACAAGAGATAAATTTAGGCCACTGAAGACAGATAATATATAACATCAAATCCTATTTACTTTCTACTGTCAAAACAGAAATGATGAAAACTTCAAATTTATGGCCTATGATAACATATAGATGGATAAATTTATTTCCAAGAAGCAAAGACAACCCACAGCTTTCTAGCGTTGGATTTAATCATATTGAAAGACAACTTTTTTGTCTATACGGCCTTCACCAAGGACAATGTTGGGAACTTCATGGCAAGCAACCAAGTCATGAATGGACATCAAGATGGGTGCAAAAGAAGATAAGCGATAAGCAAATTCAAGAAATAGAACATCTCTTACACTTTGAACATTAAGAACAGTTCTTATTCTTCCTCGATTTCTATCACAAGGAATGGAGTTAATCACATTGAAACACAGATCTTGTTAAATATGTGCTTTACTAAAAGAGAGTGCTTGTTGCAGGGTGGATAGTGGTCTGTCACAACAAACTATATAGCTTTGTAGTTAAGTAACATATCCTGCATTTTTTTATTTTTACGTACCATTAAACAAACATAAAGATAATCCAATCCTAGAAGTTAATGAAAATAAGTTTCCACGCAAGAACCATGCAGATTCGGGATCCTATATATTTTCGCTATCCACTAAAATTACAAGTAGTTTATTAGTTTATTTTTACATTCTTGGTACAAAGATCAGGCCTAATACCAGATTTTGAGTTTTAGAGGAGGAAGTATATTAGTTCATATATGATGTTTTAGCATCCAAAACCCAAATAATCATTTTTACACTAGGTTACCCACCTTATCATCACTCTTCCGAACAGCCAATTACTCAAATTATGTATATAATTCATAATATTATATTAAACAAAACATAGCAGTAATACCAAATGAGGAACAAACATAATGACAACCCATTCGAAAAAGGTTCACCGGAGTTGATCGACTCAAAATCTTAAAAGCACCTTTTTTGTGAAGAACAAAAAGGATAACTGATATTTGCTACATAAAAGGATCGAAAGGCGAAACAAGAACAGTTTGTTAAGTACTATATAATCAAATCAATGAAGATGGCCGAGTAGAGTACGGTGTCAGTGAATATAAGGTATATAGCTTCAAAAAGGTTCACCTTCGTTGAGCCATGAAATCTCTTCGCCTGCCATCTAAATCTCCAATATTAGTGTTGAATTTTCCACCATACTCCCTGAGTGCTGACAAATGTATGGTACGGAAGGTTCTAGAATTAAAATCGATTCCGACGAACAACGAAGCGAACGGTGCATTACAAAGCGGACACTTCCTCTTCAGATTGCTCCATTTACGAATGCAATTGGTGCAGTAGGCGTGCAAACACACCGTAATCAAAGCTGCTTCTTCGATTCGGCACAAACATATTGGACATGATTTGCCCATAATTGCTGGCCCCAAGTGCTTGTTTAGAAAACGTTCGCGATTACCATAGGACGATCGCCTGCAACGGCTAGATGATGACTCCATCTTCCTGTATCAAATTTTATCGAATTGATCAAGATACCAACCGTTGGCAACGGCGGCTTGTAAACGGAGGAAAATCAACGAAAATAGACCCGAATCCGATTTGAATGATTAATCCTTAGTCGGTTTATGGAGTAGATTTTAATATAAAACTTAAAGTTTCACTGGTTTTATTAGAGATGATTTAATAATGATTTAAGTTACATTTTATCTTTGTATATTAATATAATTTGAATAAATAAGAGTTATGGTTCCAATTTCAGTCTATCGATAAAAAAAATTGTATGATAGTTTAAAATCCAACATATTTAAACGACTCCATAAATGTATTCGATTTACACCAAGATCAAAGAATCAAGAGATCGAGAGCGAGAGCGATAGTTCTAGAGCAATTGAACGAGAGATGAATGAGATAACTTTTAATAACTCGTGGTGAATATCAGTTTGAATCTCACCTTGGAGGATGGAGAGAAGACATAGAGGCATGAGATGATGAAGACATAAGTGAAAGGTGTCAAAAGTATATTGGGAACATGAAAAGAAAAAGTAATAATGTGCGTGATAACTTGCATTATATGTTCTTTTAATTGTAAATTAAGAGATTTTAAGACTGAATGCATAAATAATACTTAATGCATTATGAGTTGTTTTTAAGACTTTGTGCATTAAAAATTATTTTTATGACTTTTAATAAATTTGGTTTATAAGGTAGTATAGATAACCTTAAAACAACGTTGTCAATTATATAAACTCAAAATGTAAAATTGATACAATTTTCCTTTGAAAATTAAAATGATAACATATTGTTTATCATGTATTTGAACGTGTTTATTGATCTTTTATCAACTAATGATATACTAATAAGCCTAAAATCATATAAAAACCTTCTTTGTATAATCTATACTATATTATAAAGCATTTGACAAAAACACTTAAAAACCATTTTTTATGCATGAAGTACTGTTTATTGATACATACTGCTTAAAATTTAAGATTACAAATAAACTATGTAAGTACAACTTATTAAAGCTTCATGTTTGAATTCGTGTAACTAATTGCAGATAAACATAGTCAAATACAAGATAAATATTTTATTTTAAATATAAAAAATTAAAATATAATTAGGATAATCATTGAGTTCTAACAACATACTTAATCATCATCCTTATAAAAAATTATATTATTAAATTAAAAATAAATTACTTCGTTATTAAAAATAAATTAAACTATAATAACTAAATTGTATCAAAGAAATTACATAAAAAACAAGAAATTTTAAATAGTTAATTCGATACCAATATTGATATATGTATTTTCGAAATTTTATGATATCTTCAAATTTATATTTTATTCAAAAATAAAAACATTATCCCTTTCTCAAATCCACATAAAAACCGTGTTATAACACCTACAGAGACGGAATAAATGAAACATTAAAATCAAGATATATATCGATGCATTACACGAGTACCCTTCTAGTTAGTTATAATTTACAAGTATGCTATTGACCAATTATGAATTAAAGTAAAGTTTGTCCAAAACATGTCTGAAGATGAGTAGGAAGCAGCTTGACGATGTTGTTATTACGTTCATTAGATGTAGGATAGAGATCATGTAACATTCTAATTTTCACATTTGCATATAATATGTATAATTTACATCACAAAGATTTCATAGTACAAGAAACTTATATACAAAATTTACAACTTAATAATTTTAAAAGAATGTTCTTGCATTATCACATGTATCTTCAAAATACATCAATCAACAAGTTGATCTTCAAAACAGCAGATAAACATATTAGGAACATAATTACATTTTTCCCTTTCCTTTACTATCTCTACCCCGTTGGACCTGCAATGCATATTTTAATGTACAATAAATGAGGGTTAGACAGAAAGATCTAGTGAGAAAATCTTTTTTTTTGCAATTACATGGTGAAAATCACCAAAACCTGTTAAAATCATCTTTTGCAAATAAATAAATATATTTCAGCAAAAGCTTGCAAATCTGCTTGTTACTCATAGTATAAAAACGAACAGATAATTATAACACTTACACGCGCTTCATGAAATCCACCTCTCTTATTAAACACAAAACCTCAAGACTCCTCTGGCTCAACGGGCCAGAGTTGCTCTGGTTCTGAAGGACCAGAGCCCTTTTCTTATACTAGTCACTCTAGTTGACCAGCGCTTCTGCTTTTACCAACCAGAACATTTGTATTCACACTCCAAAATAAACAAGATCAAACTCAACCAGAGACCCTCTAGACGAACAAAGTCTTTGACTCGACTAGATCAATATTGGTTTAAAAGAAAAGAATAATAAGATATAACCAGAGCTCTTCTGGTTCATTGCTCAATTTGTAAAAGATATTTAAAAAGATTTAGACGTAAAAAATGCAATAAGATTGAGTTTACAAAGCTCGGACACAAAGCTCAAATACACAACACAGACATACAAACTTTATGATACAGAGCCTCTGTATAGTACATACAAAGCCTCTGTGTAACAATAATCTCAAAAGTTCTTGAAAGATTTTCCACACGATCAGAGATCCTCTGGTCCATCTTGAAGACCAATTAGAGTCCCTTTGGGTCTCATCAAATACTCGTTCTTTGATCAATTGTAAATCAACACGTTCGGATTTCATCAAAAACATTTGAAATCTTGGGCAATTAATGCCTCTGGCTATAAGTTGTTTTCCCCTTCTCAATAATATTAATGTTATCATTTCAATAAGAGCAATATCTCTAAGTCCTCAAGTCACAGAGAAATGTTGACTTAGAATTATCACAACTTATGGACATGACAACAAGAGCTATAATAATAATCACACCCACAAATGTCACCCTCATATCTGAATGTACATCTCTCCTTGATATGTCACCCTTATCCCATGATACACCTCTCATTGATGTTCCACCTTTGTTTCCTACTCAAATCTATAGATAAATCTATAGTTTTAGCCAATAATGGCCTCAAAATAGTTCCATATCATAACAGACTTTACATCACAACCGTTCTGAAAAAACATTTATCAACTCAATATTTATTTCAAAACAGACTTCACGTCACAATCATTTTGAAAGAAACATTTAAGAACTCTTAACTCAGTATTTCTTTCAAAACAGACTTCACGTCACAACCGTCTTCAAAGAAAACAATAGTATATTTTCTCAGTTAACAACCACATTTAAAAGATACAAAAATACAATTTCTCAATATAAAACAATTTGAAAAACTGTTAAACAACGTTTATGAAAACCACAATTTTATCTTCACAAGACTTGGACGATAATTGCCCTCATCGGCCAACACTATGGCCGATGACCCCTTCCTCATTGGACATCACTTGGAGAGATAACACCCTCGTCGGTCACACTCTGTCTGGATACACTCTCATCGGACAACATTGTGTCCAGTAACCAACCTCACCGGTCAACATTAAAAGATAGATATTAAACCGGTTAAAGCTTTGTCCGATGAGCATCCTTACCGAACAAGGCTTGCCCGATAACAACTCCAATCTGGTCAACACTTGGTCTTAAACATTAAACTCAAACAACACTTGGGCGATAAAAAAGTAAAACCGGATACCCCTGTTCGATAAGAATCTTCACCGGATAAGGCTTCACCCGATAAAGACCTCATCAGTCAATACACAAAAACAACACATCCCTCACTGGACAAGACTTAGCTGGTAAGGAGCCCTCATCAGACAACACACTGTCTGATTAAACGCCCTTATCGGCCCAAGCAACTTCATAAGAGCATATGCATACAAAATGTATGAATACACCAACAGTTCCATTCAAAACCACAAAACCAGTAATCTTAACAAATTCAAAAGCTGTTTGTAAAACAAAACTCACCTTTTTGCAAGCAAAGAATTTGAAGAGGAATACACACCGGCTGCCTTCACTTTGATCTCAATCTCAATTTCCAAATTTAGTAAGAACCCACACAATTTCTCCCCTATGTTTTTCTTTCCAACAATGGCAGCCCAAAAAAACTTTCCTTTAATACTTGCCTTAACAGGAAGGCGGTGAAGAAAAAGAATAAAATATTCTTTTCTTTTCTTCACCATATACACCACATGCACACATATAATTTCATGCATGCATAACATATTAAACATGCATACACATATGCATATTAACAATCTCATGCATACATATTTTCTCACACACACACACACATATATATTTATGCATATATCCACATAATTAGATAATCACATAAGCATTACCTCAAGTGTATAAACAGGACCCGATTATCATAGGCTATATGGGATATCTCGATGGCATAGGTGTCATCACAAAATGCCCATGTAGGGGAGAGCAAGGTGCGCCAAAACACGTAAAAGATGTTGCAAAATTAGCTCAAAGTGGCAGTGGCAATAACTTAATATTATGCTTCAGTGGACGATCTAGATATATCACATAGTTTCTTGGAGCGACATAAAATTATGAAATCACCAAGAAAAACAATGTGCATTTGTCTTGTGGATCGAAGAGGAAAATATTGTTCCAAATGTTATAGATCTCCATTGCAGATCTAATTCAATTCTCATAGCAACTCGCCATTCATTGTTCTTAACACCATATGATAGAAACATGGTTCAGGTTAAGATGTTGCAACCAAAAAAATGCTTTGATTTCAATTCAAAAAATTTCATCCATTAAGAAACTGCAAAAAAAATTGCTTGTACCCGGTAGGAGATTAGCTCAAGGCTTTGGGCAAAATCTACTATCATAGCTTGTCATGGGACTAGTAAGGTCCTCGTGTGATGTCGCAGTTTACATCTTGATTAAGACTGATAACTTAAAATGTCAACCATGTTTTATTTTTGTTCTTCTTTTGTCAATTCTGATGCTGTACTGCAAAAAAATCATTTTGCCGAGTTTGGACGCTTCAACTGACAGGTGAAAAGAACGACAAAACGTCGGTAATAAAAAAGAATTGACATGTGTATATATAATTATATATATATATATATACATATGTCAATTATATATATACATATATATATATATATATAT